TTAATAATGAATTGGACAAACTTTGTAGACAACAGTTTGCGATTTATAAGGATCTTCTTTTCCATGTAAATGATATGCCGAGTGAACGCGAAATATAATGCGATCGTCATAATCGGCGTTGATTATTTTGGGACCTGTTTTGCTCGTTGGTCTCTGAATTTCGACGCAGTCGCAAGGTGGTTCCCATTCTTCCCGTTTCTTTTTCGACTTATTTTTATCTTTCTCTAATCTAATAATCAGCTGATTGCTAATCATCTCAGCTCCAATCTCTTGATAATATTTTGAACAAGTATCCTTGATGAGTGAATGTGACGAAGATGATGATGGACAAGGCAGATGGGTTATTGAAGGACAGAGGCACATGTCTTGTCAAAAAATTTAAAATAATTTCAATATATATACATATACATATATATATATTTATATATCAGTATATATATATAAATATTTATGCTTTATTTAAAAATATTAAATATAAATAATTATTTTATGATTTAATATTGTACAAAAGAGAAAATATTTTGTTTCTTTTTAATTTTTTACCTATTTTATAATTAAATATAGCAAAAAACACATATTTTCTTAAAAATGAGGCATTGGCTGTTAGATTAAATTTGAAGTAAACCATTTGAATTAAAATTTATTTCAGCTAACAAAAACAGATTTTTCTTATATTTACCTTTATCATTAGAAAATTGCATTTTAACGAATAACTTGAAATGTGGAATGTAATGTTTATTGAAAGAAAGATTATTATTTGTATTATTTGTATATTTAACGTCCCATTTTTATAAAATTGTGGTTGGGATTTAGTACAGTTATTTAAAATCGATTCTTTTATTTGACATATTCACATTGCGCGTTAGAAAACAAATACATCACAGATTTGCCATTTCTAACATCATTTGAATCAATTCGCACCATGTCACCATTTGGATAACCCAGTCAAAATTTATTACATAACAATTTGCCATCATGTTATATGTGTGTGTGTATTAAGTCCCATTATTCATATACATAACACAACAAAACAGCAAGAATGATTGCGGCAACTTATAATTGTGGCTGTCTATCAAAATTGTCTGCCCTGAGTCCTGGACCAATCAGATTACAAGCACCTTGTTATTTTCAACCACACGGCACTCTGCACCATTTACAAAAACAAACAGCACAATGTTGTATGCACTCCAAAATTATTAAAAAACCAAAACATATATATGCAACATCTGAAAATATAGCTTGTTGCTGCATTAATCGTAAAAGTTTTCTTCATATATCGTCATGTTCAAAGAAAATTCCTTCCGTACACTTATCATCAGCTCCTCCACAATGTTGCTCTGTGAATGCATTTAGAATGTATTCGACCCCTTCACACAAGCTAGTAAACTCAGTGATCTCCGCATCGAAAGAAAGCATGAACAAGCAGTTTCTGAGCAGAAGCAAATCAAAGATGAAAAACCTTGAGATATCTGACAAGGAGCAAAATCCAACTAACATAGTCGTATCTGAGATTGTTAGAAAGAAACAGCCACACAAGGAGATTGAAGCTATCATCAATGACAATCGCGTCATCATCAGGATGCACAAGGAAACGATCAGAGAGGAGTACGATCCCCCGTGCGAATGCATTGGTCAAGTAGTTTCAAAAGAGTCGGCATTGAGCCAAGGAAAGTGCAATGACGGCTTTGTATTCGATATGGCTCATGGAAATTTGGAACTCTGTCGTACTCCTCGAGAGGATGCATCCGTACCATCGACAAAGAAAACCTGCGAGGAGACGGGATGTCGTACGGTCACGTTGTATCCAAACGTAAAAGGCGATATCAGGAGTGCTCCTTATCGTATAGAAGGCAGGGAAGTTAGAAGGTCAAAGATGGTAAAACCAATCGATCTTGAAGAAAATCCAAATATATTCTTGTTGAGAATTAGGAAACACTGTGATAGTGGCGATAAAAGGCAGACAATCAATCTTGAGTTCCGAGCACCGCGTCCATGGCTACCAAGGAAGAAGAAGGATCTTCTTAAACCTGAGACATTAGAGGAACATGAAGACGCTGACATGGAACATGATATTGACAAGGAAAATGATATTGACAAGGAATATGAAGGTCATATCGACAAGGAACATAAAGATAATGAGGAGCATAAAGATAAGAAGGAGCATAAAGATGACATTGACGAAACGATTGATGCTCACAAGCAGAATAACGAACAAAAAATATTAATTTCACAATAAAATGCCGAAATACTTTTAAGTATGTTTTTTACTATTAACTTAATTTAATATTTATTAACGATTAAAAAAGATTGATATTAAGTATTAAAATAGAAAATAAAAGTTTTAATATATCTCTTTCCTCTCTTTTTACTTTCAATTAACAGCATATAGAATTACATTATTGCATTACATTTTTACATATTATCGCATTTACTACTAGAATTAGTATTAAATAATTTTTAGTTTCTCTTATAGAAGATGCAAAAACAAATAATTGAATTATTATTGTATAGGTTTGAAGAAAGAATACAAGATCTACTATATTCTCACGAGATCACTCTTAAGCTGTCAGCGTGATGCAGGTAATTATTAACGCGTAGCAAATTGAATTTCCGGAACGTGTGAGAATAAGAAACTGAGAATTTGGTAGTCAGCGCTTTTGAATTCTTTGTATGCATTTAATTTGTCTCGGATTAGATATATGATTCCAAAATGATAGAGATATAAGTCCATACCTAAAAATAATGCGACAGACGCCGCAGACAAATACCGCTTTTTTTTAATATTAATAAAACAGTTTTATTAATAATAAATATATATATATATTCATTGTATAATTAAATTTTTTATATATTTATAATATATTTATTAGTATCATCTTTAGATTTAATTTTTAGATTTAATTTCATCTTTAGATTATCATTTTTAGATTTAATTTCTGTTTACAAATTATAAATATATTGTTTATGCACTAACAATTGCAGAAGCACATATAGACATTTTACTTATTTAATTTATTCTTGAAGCGTACAAAACTATTTTTATTTTAATTTAATTTTAATTCGGCAATTATTTTCATTTTTGGACTTAAATAATATGCATTCTATTGTTACATGATATGGTTATAATCGATTTTCTACTTTTTTCAATAATGTATAAAGAATAATATTTAACAAAAAGACTTTTTAAAGTAGATAAACTGCATTTTATAATTAATTTATTGTACAGCTAGAGAATATTCCAGGTCACACTTTATAATAATTAATAACTAAAATTTAATAGAAATATATTATATTATAATATTATAATTGAATTCGGTGATAATAAACCTTCATATTATGTATTTTCTTCTTTTTACACGTTTTTATATGCCATATACATGAAATCTATATAATAACATAGACCACAAACGTAATCGTGGGACAGTTTAAGAAATATCGCTGAGAAAATTACTTGTGCATTACATTCTGTATTCCCGAAGACGTTTAGATAAAGTATCTATAACGGCGAGAGCGCGAAAGAAAAAGATCTTGAAAAATTTCCGGATCGATTCTCACGACTCGAAGCTTGGAGTCAGGTGCGCGTGTGAATGGACTTCTGGCTTTCATTCATCTCTTCTTGAAGATTCGAATAGCCACCCGCCCACCAAGGCCCCCATTTTTTGACGTCCGACAGTCTCGAAAGAATAGAAAAGAGGGTAAAGAAAAAAAACGATGATTTTTCAGTAAAGTGCGCGACCCGAAATCGAGCCGTTTTCAAGCGTCCAGGTCTATTGATGCATATAACGATAAGCCGAAGCTTATTTGAGCAGACCGTGATTTTTCAATTCACCTGATAGGCTTTTCATGGTTCTGGATTTATTAATGCTCGGATTTCCACAACAGATTGTATGCTATATTTAACAGTACAGCGAATGTCCTGAGATAAAAGAATAATATGTAATATTAAATTGCTTCCTAAAAGCAGAAAGTGAAATATACTAAATTTCTAAATTAAAATAATTTTTATTTGCATATTTTTCAGAAAAATCATACATAATTTTTCAACAATTAGCACATTGTGATTAAATTTTTCATGTCACAATTTAATCGTATTTTAAAAAATTGTTGTTAATAAAAACAATTTTTTAATTATTTATAAATTTTACAATTTTACAACTAGCAATATCGTTTTGTGGCTGAAAGTCAAGAACAGAGATATTCGTTTCCGTCATAATTGTAAAATAGAATAAAAATAAGAAAAAAAAGTAAAGTACACATAAATCATGTTAAAAAGTAACACTAGAAATTTAATGATAACGATAACATTGTAAAGAACACATAAATCGTTAACAAGTAACTTTCTTACCTAAGATTTTTGCGCATATACTGTAACTACACATTTTCATCATTTTCTCCTGAAACGTCTCATCTGCTCGAATCGCATCCTGATCCGGCAGATCCCCTCGATTAACGGATTACATTACTCGCACCTTCTTCCGTTTACTCATCCCCGCGGGCAGCCTAGCCTGTCGTGATGATTCTGCGAGCGATCCGTAGCTTTCAGGTGCGCGCAACGAGGAACGTCAGCGCGTATTCATCGTCTTTGAATTGCGAATGGATACAAGCGATCCATACATCAGAAAGTCAACGGCGCCCCGGGTGTGCCCGTGGCTTCCTGGTGAGCGCGAGAACACACTCGTCCTCGTACGGGAGAATGCAAAAGATCTCCCAATGAAGAAGCGGTATCTCGCGTAAAGCAGGAGGAAAGGTGGCTGGCCATTAGGGGTTCTAAATGCTTTTTAAAACCGGATTCTAGGAGGAACGTATCGAGTGTCAGACGCGCAACAATGACGTGGGTAAACATTCCGATATACAGGCCCACCCGCGGCGTCCATCGCTGCACAAGGGAAGCGATCTGCGACATGGACAACATAACGCGCAGGTAATGTTTGGATGCGCGTAAAAGGCGAAAAGAATGAACGGTGATGGCGAAAGCGGAAGAATTTGTATTCGCTGACAGCGATTTCCTCGGAGCGACAGCTATTAGACAGAATTGAAACGATTGTAAATTCATTGGGAATGAATATAGGACGTAAATATTACTCACGATTGCTGATTCCAATATAATGCGCGTAAGAATTGTTAATATAATAGCAAAGGACCCTGCGCTAATTATACGATAAATAAATTGGATCCTGAAATTGATTAGTTTTCACATATAATCTTTATAGAAATGTAATACTGCCAGTATAGAAAAACAGTAATTATATCTACTTATTTTAAATATTAAAGAAACTGTTTAGTATTTTTAGTATTTAAAAAAAATTATTAATTACTGTCTTTTAGTAATAAATTGATCAGTGTTAAATTTCTGTAAATTTCTGTTTCCTTTAAAAATATGGGGAACAAAAGATGTCATAGACTTATCAAGGCTCAAAAACAGATAGTTTGCAAGCTATATGGTGTATTAAAGGTACTCTATGAGTAAAAGTTTTATATCTTTGAAACATTATCCTTAGTAGCAATTTATTAGCCATAAATTGGTTAAGTTTTGGGGATATATTGGACCAATATTGTGCCCTTAATTGTGTTAAACTAAAAATAGCTAAAAAACTATCCATTATCGAGCCTTGTATCTTTTCGTTCATCACATTATAAGGTAGATCATGTATAGTCCGATTCACGTTTACAATGCTTAAGAATCATTTTATTCCTGTTGTTTCTCAAATGTTAAATAAGGACAACTCACGAGTGCTGTGAGCGTGAATCAGACGGCTGCCTTTGTATGAAAACTTATAATTAATTAATTTCTCTGGAACAATTTTTCATATATAATTAGGATCCTTTATTCAATAAGTGAAAAAAAAGGTCGCAATCTACATACAGATATTTCACACACTCTGTACGTTCTGATTATTGTCGTTTGAATAAAAATTGTAAATTTGTAATTTTTATTTCACTTAAAAAAAATAGAGGTTTGAAGTAAAATAATCCGTCTATTTTTGTCGGCAAGTGCAAAAGTAAACAGCAACGAAGAATGCTACAAATATTATTGGCGGACGTAGTCGACTTAATAATAATAGATTATCGGTGTAACCTGAGAGATTAGGGTAGGCTTTTCTAGGGCCGTAATCCGGATGCATTTCAATAATCGTTTAACCCAAGGTTACCCTTCAGTTATAAGATTTGGGACAGGCCAGATCAACAGCAAGTCACCTGTCAACCTGCAGGGGACAATAAAAAAAAGAAACGAAGAAGAAATCATAAGATTATTTATAAAAAAAAAGTTCAAAGTTCATGGAATTTTTTCTTTTCAATTTAAAAACTCTAAAAAGTACTTAATGGAAAAATATCTAAAAGGACGAAACTTAACTGCTTATTAGAAAGAGGAACTTTTAGAAAAGAGAAAAGAGAACGAAGTTTCGTATCTTTGGAAAAGAACTACGAAATTTAGTACAATAGATGAAGAGGGACAGAGACCGAGAAGAAAGATTCGTACTCTAGAGAAAGAACTTTAGAGGGCTCGCGATCATATATCTATAGGTCGGTAGGGGGGTGTCAACGAGCTTGACAAAGTCCCAGCGGGGTTTCCGCTACCCGAATTGCTACCGGGACTCCCCGTGTGAGAATCTGGTACACTTAACGCTAAGCTACCGCAGCAGCTCCCGGATTAGTTCTGTCAGTTGCGATCGTATCCGTGTCATGTTCCGGACAGAAATTGACATTCGCGTGCCACTTATAATCTACTTTAAATCTAAAGTTTGCTTCTTAGCGTGTGCTCCATTGCAGGTAAGGCTTAGAAAAAAATATCGAGATATTGATGATTTTCCTAAATGATTAAGAGAAAGATACACATTGACGAATTGTATTCTTTTGGAGGAGCAATTAAATAATAAAATTTTTATTTTCTCTCTATCATACAATACTTCATTAAAAATAAGAAAATAATGAATATTGGAGTAAAATATTTAATATTTAATATATTTATAAAGAAAAATATATTTTATATAATTAGTTTCGTGACTAACCGTACAGCCATAAAAGATCATTTTGCAAACTATTGGGAAATTGTAATTATCGAGTAAAAAAACGAAAAGAATTCAAATCAAATATATAAAAGATTTTTCTGAAGAAATGAATTATATCCTATTTTTCTTAATTCTTTGATTTGACGAGTGAGCATATCATCTTTTTATACTTCCCTCGGAATCACAGATTCATATACGTAACCGCGAAACATCCCATAAAAACGTATTGTAATGAAAAAAAAGGCGGAAAAAAGCACGGACAGAGAGACGCGTGTGTGTTTCCGAGGGCGAAAGGGCGCAACCCACCATTCTTCCCCCTTTACAGTACGTCGCATAAACGAGCAAGGGGTTCTCTATTACATGAGGGGTTGCAATCGGTGCGGTTGGTGACGCCATCTTGAATTTAATCGCCGGGAAAATGGTGGTAGTCTCGAGGCAACGTTGATGGACGAATGTCGTTGCCTGATTTAAAATATTGTAAGTTCGATCATATTTATGCAAGAAGTAGTGCATATCAAATATTGCAATTACGATTTGGACATACAATATTACAGAGATTATTAATATTACAGAGAAAAGAGTATAATATTACTACACTGAGAAAAAAATGCTGTTGATTCAATTAAAGTCTATATTACAGGCTGTCACTAACATAAGTGATTAATTCATGTATATTTTTATTGACACAAAAAGGCATAAATTATTATTTCAATAATCAAGCCTTTATATCAATAAAATATACGCATGAATTAATCACTTATATTAGTGACAGCCCGTAATATAAACTTTAATTGAATTAATAGCATTTTTTTCTCAGTGTATAAATTATTATAATAATCTAATCATTCGTTAATATCAGCTAATATCTACTAATATCATAATATAATTATGAAAATATATTAAGAAGGGGATATTAATAGATAGAATTGAAAATTGTCATATGTAATTTAAATATTCAATTATTGCAATAATAAAATACTGATTATTTAATAAAAGTCAATTCATTTCATTTCTGTGTTTCAATTAGAGTTGTACATTTTAAAGAATTTAAGAATATCTATTACTGCTAAAATAAAAATATATACATGCAGAGCAATGAGCTATTATATTCAAATTAAACGCTATCGATATATTATAAATATTTATTTCAACAATAAATCCCTCAACTATATAACAAATACAATATATAAGTTTAATAAATATTTATAAAATATACACTTTTTTAATATATTCAGTCTTTGATTATTTACATCTAACATACTATAATTTTATACACATATTTACAGTTAACATATTACTTTCTCAAAATACATGATTGTTACACCTAACTTATATTAAGAGTATATAATAAACAACTCTAATTGTAAGTACTACCTATTTCAATTAATTATACAAGGCAAAATACGATAAAACTTTATCCGAAAGACAAAAAATCTGACTTCAGAATTCAAGGCAATTTTGGGAAAATGTCTCTAAAACTGTTCAAAGTTATAGTTAATAATAATAGCCAAGGCAATTGCCAACATTCGCTGAGAGGATATAACGCTAAAAAAAGAGATGAATATTTATATTATATTATATAAGTATATACATTATATTACATAAATATATACATTATATTATGAAAGAAAATTGAGAAAAAGTAGAAGTTAAAATAGAAACGTCTACGGAAATGGAAGTCTTGGTTTGTAAGATGAACGGAAATGGCAATAATTAAATTGTTTTTTACGTTAAATTAATTGTAAATTAGATAAATTGCAAATAAAAGATAAGTTAGATTATAAGTAGAAACAAGTATATAAATGTAACACAAAAGTCTTGTAAACCAATTGAGAAACAAAATGACTACACGAGCGTACAAATTATACTACATAAGTAGTTATATTATTTTACAAGTTAGAGAAAAAGTATATGAGGTAAATAATAAGTAATATGTTTCGAGAATTCATTCAATTTTAAAATGAGAACATCTCGATAACGTTAGATTGATTGCATGATTATATCGTACTATTGTAGTGATTGGAATCACAATACATCGTTATCGAACTAGTATATTACACTGTAAAAAATACGTGAACTTATTCTAACTTATTTATCTAAATTCGCAATTTATCTAACATGTAACGTTGCAAAATATTCGCGTCATTTTTCTTTTCGTATGATAAATTTGTCGCGAAAATTCAGAGATTATCGAGCTCACAGTCTGTAGTATCTGAATTTACGATTACCATCGAATAAGCTCCTTTGTTAACTGATGCAAAACCCTTCGAAGTTCTTGTCAAAATTCTCCAAGCATCGAAAGTACATAACTGTACGTTTATTGTAAACATTAAATTTATTTATTGTCAAAGTGATCACTGTGTTCGACTTTCTATCAAAGATCCAACGTCAGATCTGATAAAGGTATGGCGAAAGTTCGGTAGATTGTTGAAATGGATAACTTAGAGAAGCGATCATGCCTAATGCCGCTGTCGAAACGCGATACGAGTCGCGTACCTCATGAGTCCTCATATGCTTCTTGAGGTGATCCTTGCGTCCAAATCGTTTTTTGCAAAAGACACAAGAATAAGGCCGAACACCAGTGTGAATTCGTTTGTGTCGCGTCAATTCCTCATTTCTGGTGAACCGTTTCCCGCAGGACTCGACGTCACACTTGAACGGTCTTTCACCTGTAGGAACGAAATCCTATATGTTCTATCGAAATGATCGTTTTTGCCTAAATTTATTTGGATGATATCCAAAGATTAATTGCCGATATTAAATGCAAATTAGGATAATCATGAATATTTGCATACAAATTTATTACACGAGGTAATAACGTAAGCAATTAATCTGAATCAAAATATACATAAGTGGACGTAGAAACTTTTTTTCCGAATGATAAATCTCTCTATAAATATGCAAGTATTTTAAATGGAAGTGTTGTCTATGTAGGGATTACAAATATTTTGCAAAGTATTTATACATTAAAAAAACGATACAAATATTATAAAGGTTTCCACTGCGATAAATGTTTTTTAGTTTTAATGACGAATAAAGAAAATATGTGCTAAAACTTTGCAACAATAAATCAGAAGAATTCTTCAAAAGTTTTCAGTTTTCGTTTTTTATGTATGTCTTTTATCTTTTA